TCTTCGCTTGCTTCCACGTTCTGGTCTTGCATTTCTATAGTTAAGCTTGTTTTTCGTTTTGCATCTGACATCACTGTTTTGGTTATCATGTTTTCGTTTTCGTTTCAGTTTGTTGTCTTTATTACTTGTCGTGCGAACACTGAACTTGACAACTCGACTATCCCATTTTGACGCTTGGCTCACATTTGGCAAACTGGACTGAACTCGACCTTTTTGGCAAGTTTAAGAGTCTCAAGCTTCGATGGGTTTGATGCTATAGAATTTGCGAATTTTCAGATTTACAGTGGCCGTTTCCAAAAATTCAGCAACATAGCGTCAAGTTTCTTTCGCTATTGTCACGAAAGACCGACTCTGCGACTCCACTAGTTTCTGCTGTATATGTGACAACCGTATTTTCACATCTGCTAAATTCTGCCTGTTTTTTTATGCTAGCATTAAATTTTGAACATTGCTATATATATATATATATATATTTGTAGTTGGCAGCATCCGGTTTCGGATTTGCCTGTCACTGTGGCCAGCCACAGGACGCCTGCGCCTACAGAAGGACCATGGGTGGCTTGCGCTGCACCACCCACAGCTCCATCCACACACCCCATATCCGGTGTAAACCCGAAGGAATAAGACCGGGAGGCATGTGGATGGGATCCACGTTTCATCAACGGAGCCGGCCCACACTCCTTCACAGGTAAACACAAGCATGCTGTATTTGGGGAATCAAGCGCACACAAGGCGGTGGCTGGACCGTAGTCCGCTCCACACTGAGTGCATGGAACCACTCTTCGAGCCTAGCACGGCCACAAGGACCGTACACCCCGTCCCCTCTAGCAACGACCAACTGTCTCCTAGAGCCAATATGGACGAGGTAGTGGGTAATAGACAGGTAGACACCTTATCAACAAGCACATCAAGCGCAGCCACACTGGGGATATCAAGCAACAGCCATTCACTTGAAACGACATGCTGAAATAAAATAAATCCAATAATGCATACAGATACGGTGGCGTAACTCTTCCCTAAATTACCATATGAAGTCAGTTGGTTAGCAACGAATCCACGATAAGTAAGAAATGCCCACAAATTACTTAACAATGCTACAAATGCAACAAAATTACCGAAAATAAGCGCAATTAGTGTAAGCAACGTGGCCAGTTACTAGAACATTATTCAGGTAGGCAGAACAAACCAAATAAAGTGGAATGAAATGTATCCAGCTTAAAAAGACCTAGTTTAAGTGTAAGTTGGTTTAGCCCAACTGCGGCGAAGTAGCATTAAGGATGCAACATCAGCCTCAGCATGGAGCACAACACACTATAAATATATATATATATATATATATATATATATATATTTGACCATTATGTTATTGGAAGTTTAGCTCATGTCTAATGGCAACATGTGTGAGCAATAAGAATGTTCGGCGTCTCACATTTGATGCACAAATCGAGTGGACCGCTCAGCACCACTAGCCACAGGTTGCGCATGCCAGCCCACCGATTCCTGCGCCGTGCTTTGTATACGCAGTCGGGATGTAGATAGGAGATGATGAGGGGAGGCCAAGCGATGTTTTGGGCAAGAAGAATGAAAACCCTTCCTCTGAAGTTATCGTCAGTTGGTGTTTTCCGACTGCTTTGCTGGAGTCTGAAGGATGGTGAATAAATTTGGTTGAGTACATTAGTTGCTGGTGCGAGGATCTCACTTCAGTGGCATTTGTGTTGTGAATCTCTTTGTCCTCTCCCCTTTAGCAAAACTAAGGGGATGAAATTGAACGGCTAGCTTCAAGAAACCGAATGCCGTAACGCTACTAGTTGCGCGACTACACTATGTTCTATGAAGTCTCCAAACGTTGATATGGATCATCCCTGAGCCCCATCTACTAAGAGGGCACACACCAGCCTGATCAAGTCCTTCAGTCCATATAGAAGGAGATAATTAATGCTGGGCTGCAATCCGTGGGGGCACATGCCGCTACGACAAATAAACAGCATTCAGATGATCATATCACGATTTTTCACCGAATGGGACGGAATCGGATTTTGTTCGTGATCTAATCAAGTAGCTATACTACTGCCCACATACTTGACGTAATTCCCACACCGACCTACGCCCGAAGGTTTAGAACTGGCGTCTCCAGGTAAGCGTAATGCGAATGCGCTTTGAGAGCACCCAGGTCATAGGGGTGTTGGAGTCCTCTTAACTAGTTTCAGTGAGGTAACATTGCTGGTGTGGGCTTTTACGGTACGAGCAAGAACTGCATGCGATCTCATCCGCACGAGCGTACGAACATCGGTGTCCAACTTGAATTGCGATTTTGCGGGCTAGAAACGTCCTGTCTGTGTATTTGGGTGGCACACGGTCGATCTCGACCTGACGCAGTTGGACCTGTCACTCAAGACACTGCTTTGTTGGGGGCTCAGGATCGGAGGACGATTATCGAGATTGAGGTAATTCAACAAACTTGGAGCAAAACCTGTAGTAGATTGAGTGGTAAAGCACGGTTTAGCGGAGCTGGCTGCTAGCATCTCGACCGTAGGAATTATCGCTACGGTATGATAGGATCATAAATCATTCGTAATTTTACTTAGTGGCTTGTTTTCAATTATGAAAGGTAGATGACTGTTGTGTTTAGCGTTTTCACTTCACATGCTGTCAAGTTTTTCAATACATCATTTGATGATATGCGTTTTATTTGCTTGTCCTAATATTCCCTGGAAACTTTCGTAAATTCTCCAGCTCTTCCTTTATCCGGCACTCAAAGTGACTGACCACATGGCACTGCATTTGAATTTGTATGAGACCCAATCACATGTTTGGCCACGTTTTCTTAAATGGCCTAGACATGTGGTCCGTGGCGAACCTATCACAAAATGTTTCTTCTATTCTTTGTTCTTGTTCCCCTCCTCAACCTATTTTGACACCCTCAGTTCACTTTACTAGCTGTGCTGCGTTACCGACTTGCAGTGGATCATGTTACCCTGTCGGCCCGTAGCCTAGTGGCAACGAGCTTGTCTCGTAATCTTGCGGCGCGAGTTCGAACCCACACAGGCGTTGACGTCCTCGCAGTATACTCAGCCCGCGTGCGACTGGTGGTGGTCTCACGGCAGCGAAGCGCCGTTACGGCTTACAGCTGACACATTATGTTACCCTGACACAATGTACTAAAGGTGCACTACTATCAATAATAACAACCCAGGAAGTATAAACACGAGTTAGAATCGTTTTCTTGAAATAATTGAGTCAAAAATAGGAGAACAAGTTCATGAGCATCACCAGATCGGCGACCGTATCTTAGATGATAAAATATCCAACCACGGATCTGGCCTATCCTGACAGTGCGGTCGTGGAATGCTGTAGACGACATTGCTATTTAGCATTCCGATGCGTTTCTTCATGCTCTTTTGCCATATCACCGGCTGGCTACCTAGAAGTTTCTTCCAAATGCGCGCGTTATTGGCAAACAATGCAATCCGAGATTGCCACTTTGTTGGTATGCAGAGCGCCTGACCAAGTCAGCGGATGGGATTCAGTTCCATCGGGCACCCCAATGGTATATGAAGGCATCTTACTGAACTCTAGACAAACTTCAGTACTGTACACCTGATACACTCACCCGACGTGAGTAACACCTCGCGCATTGGTGGTCAAATACACTCGGTCTGCTAGCCTCCTCAGTGCGTTGTTGCTAGTCCTTCGATCCACACGCACCACATCGTTTTAAACGCTTCTCATAACCAGTATGAAAAGAGAGTAAGTCATCCGCATTACGATGACATACCGTACCGACCTTTCGCTTCCCCACCACCATCCACCATCATACGTTGGCTTGGGGTACCGCGTATTAGGCATTTAAAAACCTTTCGGCTGTTCGGGGTGCTAAGTCAATTCAGTCCTGTAACAGTACTTTGCGCTCCGAAAGTCTGAAGCACCTGCCGAAACGTGCAACGCTATCCGTCTGCATATCCAACTATCTTATCTGGTCCATTGTTTCAGCAGACGTAATGTGGCTAGTTACGTTCCCCCAACGGTGCCTCCACAGTTTGGCTCACATCTGGTGGGGACACTGTGTGAGCAATGGGCGTATTCGAAGCCCTGTTTATGACAGGAAAAGCACCGTTATTTCACAGATCAGGCTCTGATGGCTGGACGGCGTGTTGCGCATGCCAGCCTACCGACTCACGCGACTTGTATGCCCGCAGGAGTGTAGGTGATAAAAGAGAAGGATAAACAATGATGACTTAGTCCAGAGGAGTAAAGGCCATTAGTTCGAAGTTGGCCTCACTTGGAGCCTCTCGGCCCCTTGATTGGGGTCTGAAAGACGATGAACAATTTCGGTTGGATATACTTGCTGCCGTGACTACGAACCGACCTTTGGTGTTTGTGTTGCTAGTTTCTTTGCCCCCCACTCCACCTCCTGTTTAGTCTTTTTCCCCAACTACCATCCCATTTACTATCTAGGCATAAGGTAACTCTTTGCGGCACAATAGCTAGCTGTTTGCTTTCCGGAACGATGTCCATCCGTTACTGGTGGCTCGGCTGACGTGCTTACGTTGCATCTGTTCTTTTTTTCTCATGCTTTGCGGCACAAAAGATGTGTTTTCCATCTAGCTAACGTGTATAGTGATGGTGATGATGATCCAATTGACATGCATTCGTTCGAACACCTATCAGTCTAACTAGTGGCCGAATGGCTCGGTATCTCACACCGATGCATTACTGTGACGGCTTTATTAGTGAGGAGGAGGGTGGCCTATTATCAAAAATTAAGTTCCCAAAGCGAACCTTCTGAATCCGATTACCTACGCCTTGTCAACCTAGTGTGGTTACAATCTAATTGCTCTCTTGAGATAGTGGGGTGACATCAACAAGGCATCACATTACAAAGTATCACTTGTATTTTCGTGGATCGGAATCACAGCTGCTTACTATGTTGCTTCCGAATCACCATATTTGATCACCACCTTCGTTTCCGCTGAGCTAAATCCCTTATTCTTTTCTTTCAGGAATCATTCCATCGACATGCACATATTTTACCTACCAGTGTTCACTATTGCAGGTGGGTATGCTTCGCATTCGATGGCTTACATTTATGATGATCACCAAGTAAGCTTTGTTCTGTACACTCTTGACCATCACATCCTTCGTGGGTCTACTGTGGCCCTTACTTCACACGTCTTTCTGTGCGGATCTCATTATTAAGAGGGCATCACGCACACTCGTTCTGCCCCCACACTTCATTTCTTTGATTTCCCGCCTTCCGTTTTGATTTCCTCATTTGTTTTTTCTGTGCCTCCAGCATGCCCCTGTTTTTAGTCACTCGCCTGAACAGGACCAACTGCTAAAGAACCAAGCCGTTTTCAGTCCTGGTTTGACAAACTGGATGTTGCGCTCTTCACTCTGCCAACTACAATTTTGTCAGCTCGACTATGGTGGGCGGAGGGTAAACTTACAGTGTCATAATTCCGCAGCATACTTGCCACTTGTGTGGTTACACCCACCCACACTACCTGTGACTTAATTGCCTTTCGCTGGATTGTTTTTCTCCTCGAACGTTCTGCACGCGTCATATGCCTGTTCCTTGTTTTTCATGTGAATGGGGTGCTATTCACAACATTTGTGTTTCGTAGTCTCGACGTCAAACACCCCTCTTGTCACTGGACCCTCATAATCCGAGTATTTCCTTCAACTGCTATCACATAACACTAGTGCTACCATGATAGTTTTATCTGTGGACTTGTTTGGCACAATCAATACTCTCAGTTTAAGGGTCGGAGTTGCTGCGTTTTACTAGTTCAGAATCAGTTGCTTGACTTACTTTCTCACATGATTTAGACCTTCTAAATCACCGTAATTTGCTTGGTGGCATTTACACCTATGTGTCAAAACTGGCTTGGACACAAAAGAGACACGCCATTTCATTTACTAAATCTACTCTAGAGTGAGGCACCGCCCTAGTTGATGACCTGAACACCAAATTCAGTGAATCATCCGACTTCTGACTCCATTTTGTTGCTTTGCATGGTGTAGGTACTTGTGCTAACTACAGACATCGTATCTTTAGCGCTCAAGCGTTTGACCAACCGTGAAAACTTCTTGCTTAGAACGATTTTTCGTTTATTCTGTTGTCTTACCACATCGACTTTCGATCCCTGAGCAACACCACTAACATTGACATCACTTTTCTCTCATTAACCTGCCTCATAGGCTGTGTATGGTGGTGTAAGGCAGCTCCCTTATCCGCTACGACCTTTGTATTTTCTATGCCCACACTTTACTCCGATTAATGTTAATTAGTTTATTTTAGAAACGGTGCAATGTATCATTGTCAACCGGAGACTACCAACTACTACTAAGCGTTGGGTTAGTATTTGCGATCTTGGCCAATGACCGGCTCGAATCATCATAGGTGCGAGTGACCGCTTAGTATACCCAGTCCACGCGCTACTGTGGATGGTCATGTGGCATAGAAACGTCTACACGATTTACCAGCTTACTGCTGACGCCATCTATATTCTCACCCTGCTGATGCCTCTATCACTACTTCTATCAGGAAGTATTTGGGACAAGAGCTCTCACGGCACTTCTGAGCCTAACCGTCTCTGTCGATCTTGCTTCCTCCCTACACTTAATTAGCGACATGTAGCGTGTCTTCGTGTTTGATGCACTTTATCCTCGAACCGCGTCAGCACTATTTACCGAGTTTTTATCTCCCTGCGTATTCACTAGCAGTTTACACTAAGTCTATTGTGGCTCTTACTTCGGGCTTAGCACAATCATAGGCAATCTTTCGTTGCGAGATTCAGTTCTGATCCCGAACTGTCCGGAGTTTCCTGTGCAGATTGTGTAGACTTTTTTTTCCGGAACGACCATCACTTCGAGCATCAATCTCCGCGCGTATCATAGCAATCATTTTTCAATCAAAGTCAAGAGATTTCAATAAATGTGATTTCGTAGGTCTTTGAATATCCAAGCAATGGCGGCACATTGGGATCCGTTCACATCTCCGTTATCCGGTTAATACACCAATGGTAATTGACAGGTTTATTTGCTTCAGCAGTCGCATCACTTCCGATGGTTTACCGGATTAAATATGTTGGTTACAACCGGGACCAGTACTACTTTTGTGGATATTCATTAGCGGTAGTCCCACTGAAACCTCTGGTGTTGTGTAATTCTGGTTAACCAGTGATACAACGTTTTATCTGGAGTGTTCCATTTTTGCTTTTCCAGCGAATGTCACACTTTGACTGCTTTTGACCTCTAGTGCTGTGTTAAAATGTCATATTTCTTATTTCATACCATTCGGTCAGTCCTGTGTGATTGCCTCTTCATCCTTTCCACTCACACATGTTAATGTTGGCCGAAAAGAGCCACATAGCACCGAACAACTACTGGGGTCCCCTGTACAGTTGTTATATGTCGTCTCACATTTAGGTTTAACGTTTCGCATTTAGCTCATTTTGTAAGCGTTGTTTGCGACATCTAAGTGCTCGGATCCAGACAGCTGCAGTTTATTCTCTCTGGTATTTTTGCATATATTTCGCGCACTTTGACGCGTGTAATTTCAGCTCGCTTTTTGCATCATGCTGATTAATTCCCCTCCCCACTGGGCCGTCTCCAGCTTATATTGAATTATGCTTCAATACCGTGCATATTTCTTTCAGCAACTTTGAAAATTCGGAGCTCAGCTTTCGTACACAGTCATACGACCACGCTGCCCGAATCATGCTGTACTCTGTCAACATGGTGCTGCAGTTCCCAGCTCTTTTACTGATCTTTTTTACAAAGGGTTTCATTGCGTTCTCGGTTCATAAAAACCTATGGTTAATGATGGCCAAATGATATTTTCGCCGGTCTTTCCTAATCTACTCGTCTCGTGTGTTCACCCATAGCGAATGTCGTTCGGTGGGCGTCTGTTGACTGCTCCCCTAATCGATCGTTAACACCTTTACGCTTGATTGTTTTCAAACCTTTAGCAAAAATTGTTTTTCTTCTCGGGCTCTGCCGCACAACTAGGCGCTAAACAATTTCATGTTTCATTCCGCACTTACAGCAACTTGTTTTTCGTCTGTACCCTCTTAATTACTGTCTCGTCTATTGCAATCACAGTGCCTGCATCGATCACCTACGAAGCGACCGTCACCTAGGTCTTGTGCAAGTTATGTCGTACCAAATCTCTCAGTCACTACACTTTTCGTTAGCTTGCGGAACATAGTTGCCAGCGTATGGGCTTCGATCTGACTATGTTCTTTGATGGGAAGAGATCTAATTTCCTCTAGGAATATCATTCCTTAAAGCGAAAGAACTTGCTGATTTGGTGTTGGCGTGCGGCACACTTCCCCTTTTCCCGGATAAGTCACAACGCAAGTGCTCTCCCCTGCTATCACGAGCCCACCGTTATAACATTCTGGACAGTTGTCCTGACTGCACGCTACCGTAAAGTGCGATGTTGTCACCCTTTGGTGGTTGCACTTGCATACCAGAGTATGACGGTGGTTTAGCCGCATATATGCGGTCGCGGACTGACACGGATGGAAAAAACTACATATATACATATATATATATATATATATATATTTCAACAGTCTAGTAAATAAAACCAACCAACTTGGAGTCTACTAAAACCATCGTAACCAACGAATAACAGCTAGAATCGCCGCATCAGCATCATTATGGCACACTAATTGAAGGTGAGCAACGCACTTCGGCTATTGTGCCGCAAGAAGAATGGAACACTTTTTCTTAATCTTTCGCACGCCATTTTTGTGGGTTTTCTTAATTTTTTTAATTGCTAGGTCTTTAGCGCCTGAATCTAAACAAGTATCTACCCAGTTCTTCCACTGGTTTCGATCGCAAGCCATTTCCTGAATTGTTTCTAGCCATCGTCGCTCTTCGTCCTTATGTCCCTAACCAGACAGGTGTGTGGATCCAACGGCAGCAAGACGTGAAGTCAATGATTTGTTATCCTGTCACCAGGTGGATGGTTGACCACCGCATGGCCTCATCAGTCGACTTCTGCACGAGCGAACAGGACGAGATAGAGCAGTCACTCACTTGACATACACAGGACGGTACGGATCCATCATAACTGGCACAGTAAAACAAGCTTGTTGACGGGAATACTCACATTCCCCAGGACACAACGTCTGACTTCACCTTTGCATATGCATTCTAGCTATTCTCATTTCAACTGAACTCGCCAGTTGGCCCATACTATGTGTATCAGTGCAATCTCTGATACTCATCATCAGTGGTGACTTGGCTGAACAGGGACTACCCTACAATTCTGGCGGAGAATTGTCGGCAAACTTTCGGTAATCTAAACCTGCAGCTCTTCGAAGCAGTAGATGTCCATGAGGAAGTTCGCAGTATCGATATTTGCCAGTCCTCATTACATTACTCACAAACTCGGCTCTTTCATCTGCATGCATACACACGTTGTAAACGCCCTGCTCTCCTCGGTATCTGTTTGCAGGCTATTCTATGAAGATACCATGCAGGCTTTGAACGAATGTTTTGAAATGTTCATAACTCATGGCACATTAGTACACCTCAATTCTAATCCTATTTTCCCTCTGATCAACTCGATCTGACAACACACCCGCCTCATCATAAACGGCAACACAACCTCAATACTTTTCCGCCACATTGTTTTTGTACAGTCATATAATCGCACTTGGGCTCTCAAACTTATTGAAGAAGCTAATAGTGTCCCCAGTCAATGTCTTTAAACCACATGCCTAACGACAAGGCCTCGAGAAATCGGCAACAATGTCCACGGCGAGTTATTTCACGTATACGACCGCCACTTTTGTTGCTGATCCCAAAATAGATGACCAGAAAATTGAGTTTCTTTAATCCTTAGTCACTGCTCATTCCGGATCCCAAAGTTTCCTAAGGCCTCGCTTCATATAGCTCACTGGGTTAGGTAAGCGCCGCAGACATCACACTATACCTGGGTTCAGTTCCTTTATCATAAGCGAATTACAAAGTGTGCAGTTGTTCTCTCCGGAACATTTGTGTCCGATACATGAACGCTCCTGGGAGGAAGTAGTCAACTGTGTGACAACGGTACCAGGGATGGACTTTCCATCTCGTTGTTACGTAGTGTGATGGCTTCTCAGTTCCTTCTGATCTCGCCTAAGTTAAACGAAACGTGAGCATAGTACTTGGGACCGGTCATCTGCTGTGCACGCATGAAACACTTTAGGAGTATCGACGAATCAACGAGATCACTACAGCCATTATGACGTCCACTGATGCAGTGAATTAGTTGATCTCTATCTCAGTCGACGAGGTAAACAAGGACTGTCGCTGAACTAGGCGGTCGATTTATGCGAACAGTCCGTAGACCAGCGAAAACGTTCGGAACAAATCACACCATTAACAACTTGGTAGCTTCACCACATGCTAGGATGTTGCGTTTCATAAAACGCAGATCAACGAAGCTCGCGACTAGTGGCGAAAACACGCTTATGTCATAAGATCCAGAACGAGCTTATGCTCTAGGATTAACTCGAAACAGACAGTAAGCGCATATACCAACAGACTGGTGTTGACACTTGACCAATCGAGCTATAACTAGAGCGGTCTGTGTCAGTGCAATTGACTGATGCATTGTGAAACTGCCCCCTTATCCACAGTCCAGGAAGGCCTCTATTGACGCTTGCGAGTTCTTTGTGTCTCAGTCGTTGTGACAATCTGTTTGCTACTAACCTAGGCGTGGTTGCTACCCGGCAACACATGCTGGGACATTGACTGCAATACACTGTGAAAAATATGACCTCTATACCATTTCCCGGCCAAGTTGTCCTCTTGGGCAACAGACATAATCTGAGGGGGCATTCAACATGAGTCTACTCAATTAATTTGTTCCGTGCGTACGCCAGTCACTTGCGCAGATGTGTAGGTGTGCGTGTATAGCCCGTCGCCTTCAGCCAATTGGACCTCAGACGCACTAAGTCAAAGGGGTGCAGGTGGGAAGCTTCAGCTCCTACGCACGGAACAAATTAATTGAGTAGACTCATGTTGAATGCCCCTTCAGGTTATTTCTGTTGCCCAAGAGGAAAACTTGGCCGGGAAATGGTGTAGAGATTTTCTCTCCGTGATCACCTATACCTTTAAGTGGAGCATCTCAACACCATTCCTCTCTAAAGCTTTTCTTTCTACCTGCGATTCGGAATTCCTTTGTAATCCATCTCAAAGGAGACTGTTGAAAGTGTTACGAACGTGAACGGTAGCTCCGCGGCGGTCTTAAATGCACCGACCCTCCCTAGTTGGTTTGCTCCCCCCATACGAATGCATCGCACCCTTAAACATCCCTTGTAAATGCCATACACTGGGTCTTACTCCTTAGTTCACAGTGGTCTACTCCTATATTCCTTGAAATAGCTCTCATCACAACTGAACTCCGTTAGGGTTCTTGTTTTCTTGGAGCGCAGCACCGAACAGGGTTTGCTTCCATAGACGGTCTCCTTCATTGAGCTGCCAATCATTCGATGGAGTTGTTGTAATGCTCTAACCTCTACCATTGTCCGCAGCATATCATCAGAGTAAGTTAGGTAAGTTCTTATGAGGTTCTTCAGAGGTATGCTCAGTCAGGCAGTCGGCAAACATCTGAAAACGTAGTGAACGACTTTTTCTCTCTGGATATCTACCGTCACTGCGCAATACTTGAACTTGTTCGAAAGGTTCGGGATTTTATCCGAGACATAGTGCACTACCGACTAATTCCGATGGACTGAAACGACGACACTGTGCTCCTCCCGAGTAATGGTAACTATTTGACCACTCCTAGTTGTAATGCCATTTAGCATTGTACACTTTTTCAGCGTCTTTAACATATGTTTGGTATTTTATCTTTATTGTATTGCGGCACATTAACTGAGGTGTATTTCTCACCCTCAGATAACGTGTATTGATGATGATGTCAACTTGTAATGGATTATATATATATATATATATTTCATATATATAAGTTTCTTTCTACTTTATTTGGTTTGTTCTGTCTATCTGAATAATCTTCTATTAACTGACCACGTTGCTTACACTAATTGCGCTTATCTTCGGTAACTCTGTTGCGTTTGTAGCATTTTTAAGTAACTTGTCGACATTTTTTACCTATCGCGGATTCGTTGCTAACCAACTGACTTCATATGCTTATTCAGCGAAGAGTTATGCCACTGTATGTGTGTGCATTATTGGATTTATTTTATTTCTTCTTGTCGTTTCAAGTGCTTGGCTGTTGCTTGATATCCCCAGTGTGGCTGCGCTTGATGTGCATGTTGACAAGGTGTCTACCTGTCTATTACCCACTACCTCGTTCATACTGGCTCCAGGAGACAGTTGGTCGTTGCTAGAGGGGACGGGGTGCACGGTCCTTGTGGTCGTGCTAGGCTCGAAGAGCGGTTCCATGCACTCACTGTGGAGCGGACTACGGTCCAGCCACCGCAGTGTGTGCGACTGATTCCCCAAGTACAATGTACTTATGTTTGCCTGTGAAGGAGTGTGGGCCGGCTCCGTTGATGAAACGTGGCTCCCATCCACCTGCCTCCCGATCTTATTCCTTCGGGTTTACACTGGATATGGGATGTGTGGATAGAGCTGTGGATGATGCAGCGCAAGCCATCCATGGTCCCTCTGTAGGCACAGGCATCCTGTGGCTGGCCACAGTGATAGGCAAATCCGAAACTGGTTACCGCCAGCCATATATAAATGTATATATATATATATATATATATATATATATATATAGTCCAGCTTGCTATGGCAACCAGTCACAATCATCCCCAACCTTTTCTCCTATGAATAACCCCTGCGCATGAATCTGTATATGAGGACCAACGAATGAACATAAAGCTGTTAAAAAGTATGGAAATCAAAGGAGGGTACTATAGCCGTAAAATAAACCATCATCACTGAGAAATCCATGGTTTCTTCATAGGACACCATACTACCCGTTTGTCCATGCCGAGGTATGGAGTTGGCTTAGGGGACATCAACCGGAACCTTTGGCTGAATAACCCATCCATAAGATGGGTGAGCGAGGCCCGGGAATTGCGCCCATTTTAGCCGGTGACTTATTCCTGAGTTCAAACGGCTTTGTTTTTGGTCATTCACCAAACACGGCCCAAATCCTCGCCACATGATTTTGCGTGAGCATTCCAACTATTGCTACTCTCTAGATGAACCGCAGATGATGGAATGGGAGCTGGTTTTACGTTTGCTATGGCCAGTGGGTGTCCAGTTTATCGAACCCTTGACCGATTGACTCGGAGTGTTGTCCAACGTAGCGATGTCAAAATATCAACGACACTCGCTCGTTCTCTTGTTTACAACCTTTTTGTTGTTTTCGTTCGCTACCCGGTTGCCTTAACGCGCTTTTACTTCACCGTTTTTGGCTTCACAGCGTCACTACACTCAGTCGGCATGTTTCCATCAGCCCTACCCCCTACTGCATTTGGAATGGCCGCTATGACTGCAAGTTCTTCGCAAGTAGCACTCGTCAGTTTTCTGTCCTTAATCACTACAAGCTCCTTTCGTGGGGGCGTTTTGTCAGCTATATCACTTCTCATCAATCTCATTACTCAATCGGTCTTTTATCCTTGACCGCTATCCCACTAGACCTCGTTGCTTGGTTTACAACTGCGACCACTATTTCATATGCTTCTCAGATTCATCCATTACGTCATCATGGCCTTATACGGTTGGCGGTGGGCATCGGCCTATCACGTTAGTGGTTTTTTGAAGAGTTCGATGTATGAACTGTGTGCTATTCTTTCACTTTTACACGATAATTCATGGACGTTTGTCCTTAAGTGCTTCATTCTCGCCCTTACCTTATTTTTATGCCTTCCTCTACTTCAGTTCTACTTTTGGCCGAGTTTGCTCTATGTCTTCCCGCAGTTCCAGACGCAGCTGCTGCCGATCAGCCTGCACCTCCGGCAAAAGTCCAAGATGCTCAAGAACCTCCAAAGAATGTTGAAGCCGTCGAGAAAAAGGAAGTTGATTCCGCCGTTGATGCGCCAGTTCCTCATCCAGATGCACAGCCTAAAGACTTCCCTCCTCCTGTGGGCGCTGGATTACCAGAGAAGGGCGCCTTAGTGAATGCACAAGTGGACCAGCCGGAGCTTCACAAGGACCAGCAGCCAGCGGAACAACCTGCGCCCAATGTTGCCGACGCCAAAGAAGGGGGTGAAGGCATGAAAGTCCGATTTGAAGATGCAGACCGGGAGCAGCATCATGACGGTGACAAAGAGATGATTGCAAATGGGCGTCCAGTTGTTGGAGATCAGAAACAACAGAATTTGGTAGATCAAGAGGAGGTGGAACTACCAGAGAAAAGTATGCAAGACGCTTGGAAGAAGCAAGATCAACTGGCACACGACGACTCTATAAAGGCTGTGGATATAGACCTTGCGGACGCAATGCATGCGAATGACCAGCTTCTGGTGCAGAATTGGCAGAAACCGGAATTACCAGGCAACAACCCAATAGGTAAACTTACCGGCATGTAGCGTAAAGGTAACAGGGTAATCTGACGGCGCGGGTTCCAATCTGCGTAGGGACAGGGCGACCTTCGCAGTAACCTTAGCCCACGTGAGACCGGTGATGATTGCGCGACCTTGAAGTGTCGGTACTGCGTACTTGCGTACTGCTGATGTCTTCCTTCATTCCGTGCTATTATTCTCCCGATTTCTTTTCATTCGTGGTTAAGGCTTACTTTTTTCGCTTGAGAGCACATTTTTCTCTTGCATCTATTACGTTTTTGGTAATACGTTGTTTTGGTTGAATTTCTTAAGAATCCAGACATTTGAATTAGAATGCAGTAGTCATCGTCTTTTAACAAGCAGTGACTTATACTCGTCTGTTTGGGATGTTTCATAAAGACAATGGACAATGGTTTATTACGGCCAGGATGTCGTACTTCACCGCTCGCTCTACTGTACTGAAGAATTTCTTCATCTAGTGAATAGAGTCACTAAAAAACCTTTTGGACCCGGATTATTAACCAATAATCTGGGCAAGTATAATTTTTTCCGGCAGTCCCACTTCTAACACTGCTTGTCTCTTCCTCATTCGCTTTCAACGCTGAGAGACGAACATTGTGCTATTTGATCGTTCACTCCCTTGGTGCGCCACTTGAACCAATTACGTCTGTAGCGTCACATCGCGATGTCACTGCGTTCAGCTACCACGCGGTCATGTTCTCAAAATCCTCGAAGGTCTATCTAGTGCCAGAATTTGTCGCCTACCTCAACATCCGCCACATTAGTGGTTTAGATACTCTATCGGATATGGTACATTAAGGAAGTCAGTAGTACTGTTGCATTCGTTCCATTGTTTCTGTCTTCTAACAATGCTACTTGGTGATTTATATTTCTCGCTCATTCCTGCTAACTTATTGCTGCTGTGTTGGTACCATGATCCGATGTGAGTAACACGAAGGTCCGCATTTGATGTTTAGCAACAGGGTCTCCGATGCCGCGTTGGGCTGTTCATCGAACCCGAGCAGTCTAGATCAACCAGCCGTAAAGTTTCTGCAATGTGCACCTATCTGAGTGGAACTGTGAGTTACTGAAGTGATCGTATGGTAAAGATCGTGATGAAAGTCACATATCTACTTGTCCAATCTGCTTGTGTCGTCGTCTGCTTGCATGGGGGCCTGGAGATCTTACTGACTTGACGGATTCACAAGGTCACTGGCATCTCTTTGTTCATTCGCCTGTGTGTCCAGCCATTGACATGGCGGGTACTCTGAAATCTGACAGCGAACCTTTAACCGCCTTGCTAAGCGTTGCTCACGGACTCAGTCGGATCGGGTCGAAAGTCGTCCACCGCTACGTTCACTCTCACTCTCTCAGGTCATCTCCACCTGGAGAGTCCAACTAAAAACGAAACCGGTGATGGAGTTTAGCGTCAGGCGGAGTAACATAGAACTGTTCACTTTCCATGTGCTTTTAGTGATCTCAATGACCCAAGTTCGCTTCAGTGTAAACCACTTAGCCCCAGTTTAGATAGCGTGTTTGAATCCAAACACATAGTGTGCATTCCCACACGCACAACAGTGAACGTTTTGCCATGTTTGTCCCAGCTCGCTTTGTTTTCGCTGTATTTTCATTTTTATTCCTTTTAACACACTACCTGTCCGCTTATGGTGTCTAGCTACGTTACATTTCTATGTCCTGGTAATCACTGTTTGATCCACAACTACTCACCTGAGCTAGATTCGTTCGTTAAGCGAGAAAGCTGGACCGCAGATGCTGCTCATGGCAACCGATTCTCAAGTCCACAGACACAAAAACTGCTACAGAGATGTGTGTATGGTTCCTTCGGTCATTTGTGTAAACTTGTAACGTTGTCATTTCGTTACTACGGTGACCCTTGCAGTTGTGCGCCGTCATACGGCTATTCCATCAGCACCATCGTGTATCTCGATGCTGTCTCTTTTTTTCTTTCTTGCAATAGCCTGGTCATTCACAAGCGAATTCATTACAATCTGAATAGTGTGTCATTTGCTCTATGCGTCACATCATTATTTCACGCTGTAACCGCGTTTCCTTCGGGAGATACTTTTGTGCCATGCAACATCGTGCTGTTTGCCATCAGATAGACACTTCAGCTGTGTCAGATCACCTGCTTCTATCGATTGGCGCAAATAAATAACGTTTCATCGGTAGATGAAACTCAGCGCTTACCGCTCAGTTACAAACTGCTTGTAGATTCACATTATGCTCTCGACCCTAATGCACAACTAGCAGCTATTTGTCATGGCGTTCTCTTCAGCGTTTCTAGGGCGGGGCGAATCGCATGTAGCCGCAATGAATCAAACATACTGAAGTCGCATACGTCCTCAATCGATCGACCCCACTACCATTTTTGACAGTTTAGCATAGCTGCACAGACTTCGATCCGGTTGTCGGTCAACGTGTGTTTCACCTCTCTGTTCTGACCCTTTCTCATCATCTGCATTCATGTACCATGGTTTCTTCGTCCCGGCTGTGATTGAATGTTCTTCTGACTTGTCCGTTTCTGTCACTGCAGCCGACACAAGAACGCGGAACTTGAGCAGTTGGTCTATGGAATACGTGATCATGGCCTTGTGCTTGATGATAATTGCTGTCCTGCTCGCTTGGCGACATTTCTGGGTGCGTTTTTCTACATCTTTTTATTGCATTAGCTTAGTTTTTCTTTCTCCTATTTCATTGATTGCTGAGTGCTGTATTCTGGGAGCAAGTGGCAATTTAAATCTGTACAATTCCATCGGAAATTGATCAAAGAGTTAGAAAGAAAGTATCTGTTACATGTTGCTACTCTAATTGTTCTTCAAGTTCTTGTGTAACATTTTAAAAATTTCTGACTTCCAGTATCACTGGGCTCACAAATGTAAGATGTCATTGCTAGTGTTCACTCGTTCCCTAAATCGAATGGTGGGAAATGTGACTGTAACAACGTTGTAAACTGGTGCACAGATTTGACCTCAACGACTTGTTCTGATCCAGATATGTACTATTCTCCATTTGAAGCACAAGGGTGTGGGCTAGTCGTTTTATACCCGACACCACAAGCTTGTACCGGTATCCGCGTTTGTGGCATTGCGTTCGCAAGTGAAGCAGCGGCCTCAACCTTGGGAAGTCACCGAACTGTAATCTACGATAGGTTATGATGAGATCAATTCGGACCCGACGATAAGACATGATGTAGAGTTCTAGTTTTTTGCGCCGGTCTTCCTTCTGTAATCCTTTTGTACTGGGAATAGGCCTAATAGCGACATGTTGTACCCGTTCGATATGTGCCTCGCATCGAAGGACTGAACAATAGGTGGGAGAGCCGTACTTCAGTACTAGTCAAATGATGAAAGAGGACAGGCGAGTGGCGACCTCTTCAGACCAACTACAGAACCTGTGTCTGGGCGCCCAAAGCATTTGCAGTCTGCTAAGCTATAGCCTGTTCTTGTTGTTCATAGACCAAATCGCAGCGTGAGTGTAAACCTAGGTCCTTCATGGAAGGCGTGAGATGTAACAGTTGGCCGTCACTATCCTTCCTCTGGCTCATAAATACGGACTTGGTTGGGTTGACCGGGAAGTAGGTTTCTGTAAGCCAGACCGCGGTCGACCGTGGTGCTAATTACTCTCAAAGTCTTCAGGTCGTTTGAAAACAGGATACACTCGACCGAAGAAGCTGATATAACGCTTTTGGGTGGCTTAGGGACAGAGTGGGCTCCATCATCGGGCGGTAAAGTACGACACTAGTAGAGGGATACAAGTCAGTTTGATTACCGTTGACTTGTTCTTAAAATGAGTGAATCGGGCTAAAAGCTTTACGGGTCTTCGTACAGCCATAAAACTTCCGGAAACGCACCGGGCAGCCGTTTCATTTCTACGAAATCGTTGGACACGCGCATTCCCCACCCGACCCTTAAGAGACCGGCATCGAAAACACCGGGCCACGGAGACGAGGACGGCTGCGGTTACCAACTGATTGGTTGTGATGTTACGCGGCACATAGTGACCAGCGCTGTCCTCCGCACGCTGGGGACGCGCGTGGCAGTGAAGAGCAAGTGTCGCGCTACATCCAAGTTAGTTACTTACTCGCAGTTACTGCACTCATCCGTCCCGTGCTCTCAATGACGGAATGTCGATTGAGAAGCTGTTTCAGCTCATAGTTAACCTTCAGGCTATTTTGTTTGCTCTGAGAACATCATATCTAAGTGAAGCTGTTGTTTACTGCTTCCATGCTTATTGCGACACGTCTGTTTGCGACATTACCCCGTTATCACTCATCGGACACTATGAATATGGGATCTCGATGGACGTACTGGAAGTTGACAGATGAACGCCTGCTGGTGCCGAGCTCGACGGATATTCGTCCCTATTTAAAACCGAGCCTTTTGGATGCTAATAAATCTTTACTGACTGCAGAGGATTATAGAGATAGCGAAAGTGGGATCGGAAAAGAACCACTATTGGCTCTTCCGCAAGCCACAGACTGAGTCTTGCGTTTGAAGCGCGGCCGCAACCCTCAACTGCTTCCGCGCTGTTTCCAAATCTCGTGTGCTCGTTGCCTTCAGGGATCCTCGTTCCTGCTTATTATCGCGAACCCATAATGGAGATACCCTTCACGGAGAGCAGTCACACCATTGCTGTTGCTTATCGGGACATCTGCACGGTATGCGAACATCGTCTTACTTCATTTTATAAATAATTAAGCGTTATGTTGCTCGACGGTGCGAGGTACAGTCCAACTGCGTAGTCTGATCAATCTGTACAACGAGATCGCATAAAATAATTCATTGTTCACGTTTTATGGCGGCCCTTAGCCTTAAGGACCACAAGCCTTCCTTATAATCTGATGGCACATGTTCGAACCTGCGTAGGGACTAGGTGACCCTTGCAGTATCCTTAGCCCGCGTACGACCGGTGGTGGTTGCACGAAAGCGAAGCGTCGGTACTGCGTACCGGCGTACTTCTGATGCCCTTTCTTGCTCACGTTTTGTACAGTGGATCCCAAATTAGTTTTTGGGTGATTGGCAGTTTGAAGCTGGTATGGGGATTAAGAAACTTGGAACAACATCAAATGCAGATTTAGCCAAAAGTTCAAGTAAAGTAATACGGCCATCCATAGAACTTTCCCCAAGAGGCATGCTTCCATGCAGGGTATTTCCTCGGCAGGTTTCACCTGCATCACGCTTCATTTAGCTGTGTTCCGGTGTGGCAAAATATCAAATAAGCCATCATTTGCATAGCAAATACTTTTTTAAAGGGCTGTTTCTATGCATACACTACGGGCGATAAAGCCTCAGCCCGTTCCGTCATGCAGATCATTCAAGTATGGCACCTTTTAGTTATATGCCAGCGAGTCATTGGTAGTAAACCTTGCACGGTATAATTTTTTTGACTTGGAAGCTTCAATTCCTTACTACAAGAAATCAGCCCAGTCGTGGCCAACAATGAAATAAAAAAGAATATAAAGTATGAGGAATCAAAAAACGCAATAATAGTCACAATCTTTTGCAGTTAGACCAATCACAAATTAATGGAACATATTGGCGAATAATGGTGATAGTACAGAGATTTCGGGGGAAAAGTTTTCGCACTCTGGCAAGGATTATGTAAAGAATAAGGAGCAGTAAACGTAACCCAAATTCAGTTTATAACATCACTGCAGTTTTGGGTGCTGTATCTTAAATTACAACTAATTGAAGTCTTCAGAATCGGGAGTGGGTTACTTCAGTTGATAGAAGAACGACCAGCATTCGGATTTGCCTGAGGCCCCTAGGCTGCATTTTGTGCTTTCTGCGATAAACGCCAAGATGGCGGCGTCTCGAGTACCACATGCCGACTGCGTAGCCGTTCTCCTCGCCTTGGCGCTCACGTTCGATTCAGCCGATCGATCCACCCTGTTCGACATACTCCGTCGGAACGGATTTCTTTGTACTTACCATGAATCTTGATCAACTTGGCAGGTAAGGGTGAATAAGTTGCTTTGATGTAGACATTTGCCACGCCGGCTATCAACCGCTCACTGTGTACGTGAGCCTCAAAGACCTGGCGCTCTCCATTCACGTATCCCTTGTGACTATATATTTATATATTTGCAACGGTCTACGAATAGACATAAAGCCATCAGAAACCATGGGATTCAAAAGAAGGTACAGAAATAGTAAAAGAAAACAACACAACGCATCAATGTCCATGGTTTCGTCAGAGGGCGAGATACTTCCCGGTTGCCCAAGCTGAAGTAGGGACACCACCCCGAGCCTTTGGCTGAATAGCCTGCCCGCACGGCAGCGGAGCGAATTCAGGGAATCGCGCCCATTGGGAGCCGGTGACTGATTGCTCAGTTCATACGCCTTTCGTTTGTTCCTTTGCCAAACAGGGGCCCAACACTCCCCAGAATTACAGCACAAAGTTGCTGGAATACAATGCTTCGTCAGGATGAAGCAATGAGCAGTGACTTTATTTAGTGGCAAGTCACGTCCGCCACGCCACAGTGTTGTTAAACGGACATATGTGGCTTTTTATAGGGAGAACGCTTGCCAAGCGAAAACCCACCACGTCCTGGAACACTGCCGCCGAACCATTTGCTGGAACGGGAAAATCCCGCACCACCCAGCTGGCACCACGAGGTTGTTCGGCAAGCCAGCCCTTGTGACTGGGCTTTGTTTGAGCAGGAAAATTTCTCAGGTCGCAATAGTGAGTCAGGAGATGCTCGTTTTGAGTTTGATTTTGTGCCGACCAATGGACGGTCGGTCACTAATCGTTCATTTTCAGTGGGAGCATTGTCGAATGAATTGGTGTCTGATCTAATGCCTCCTACAGTGCTCATCAAATGTCAATTGAGCTGAAACATTCTCTTTCGCCGGTTAGCGACTTTCTCTCACCTCTGTGTTTAACTGTACTGTCTTGGGATGAAATAAACTTGCTTACTCCTCTTAGGAGACGGGCCGTGCGGTTTTCGTGACCGTGTACTGGCTCCATAATCAGCCGAACTGCGACTTCGCCACCACCTTTATAATTGACAATTGATCCGATCCGATCGATCCATATTTATTTTCTGGACGCTGATCTCAAGCCGACCACCACACTCGTGGCGAAACCCGCCCGGACATCGTGAGTTCACCCATTACTTCCCTTATTTCCGCTAGCGTGTTCCTCTTCGACCAATAACGGAATGGTTCGTGCGTCTACCTTTCAATCCGCGGATCACCGATGCAACACAGGTGATCTTGCGGTATCCAACTTCGTGCGCGGCCACTAGCGGTCCGTTGTCGAACCGGGTCCACTAAACACCGCTGCTTGAATCCTTTCACTTTAAGCGAACCCCGTCGCTGTACCACGCACTTAATCTATGCATGGCTGTTTATTTCGCCAGGTTTGATTTGACTAGAAATCAAAGCCGGTCGACACTGTGAATCTATTTTTTTCTGGAGAAAATAACATCCTGAACGACCTTCCATCTAGCAGCAAAACGCATTGGACCGATTTTATCCGCATGGAACTTCCAGTTCGTTGTCAGAATTTCCTTACTTCTCCTAGTGCTCTCACCCATTTGCAGGTTAGCCCAACTGGTTGTGGACTTTTTTCAACCTCTTAGTCAACCCCTCCAAAAAACAGGTCCATGGCGGAGATTATCAATACAGCTAGAGTTGGAAGCGGGTTTTAGTGTCCCAGCAACTGTCGTTAGCTTGCTTCCTTGACCAGGTCATCGGTTTTATCTTCCGATCAAACTTGGTATTCTGCGGGGCCCGATATCGTTTTTAACCGGAATCGTGTCGGCGGGCTTAGTGGTATTTTGCGGTCGGTTGTGTTTCAATTCCTCCAGTTTACCGCCTGCTCTTAGCTAGTACAGCTTTTTCAGGTTTACTGGAATATGGGCGCATCCTGTTTCGCTCCTTTGCTCCATCGTTACTGGGTCCCTTGTTTCGTTAACCAGTGGATTGCCAACCATAACGGCGCAGGTGAATTATGATGGTCTCCTTGTATCAATAGACGGTTTACTTTTGCGACACCGCGTTGTCTGCTTCGCCATTTCAGTGTACCTTCCTGTCGTTTCTACAGTTCACTACCGTCAGTCGTTACAGCGTTTTTTGACCATTCGTCCCTGTCATTCCGAAATCCCAATTTCTGCTGCATTAAGCTTTACCACCACCACGAATGTTGTTGTTGCTGTTGGTCACAAAAACCATATCCCTGACACATATGCGCGTATACTTAATCTTTTGCACAACATTGATGGTTGCTTGTTATCTGCTATCGAACTTCAACTGTTTTCACCCATGTTTGTTTTCCTGTCACTCTTTTTTCAGTACACAGTTTGCACCAGTTGTGGATCTAAAACCTATGCCAGCAGTGGGACAACAGAGCATTACAAGGTGGCGTACAAGCCACTGTGATATGTATGACTCGAGGGTAGCTCCGTCCACGTCTTGCGCCATTTTTGGTTTCACCTTGTTCCGCCTTACACTTTGTTTTGTTTTTGCATTGTCTTAAACTTTATGCTGTACCATATGTGAACCCCAGTGCCGAACCACTCCTTTCAATGTATCCCTCACACGGCGTGTCCTTGGTTGGATCCATTGATTTTCACACTATCTCGACGGTACAGCAAAGCGCAAGTTTACATGTGCTCCGGAGCATAACGGCCGCTACCAAAATCTCACATTGTTTCACCAAACACCTCATGACATGTTTGAAAGTGCACATTTTCACGTTATCGAATATATGCTTTTTTTTACTCCTTTCCATTATGTCTCATCCCTGCTCAGCCCAAGCGAATGACTACTGTTTTTTGCTACGCCACGTGCTATCTGGTGTCGACATTGCCCGCTACGCAGTGATGCCACCTGGGCCTGTGATGCTGCGTCTGCACCGAAATTGGCTGCCAGCCCGTAGCTTTAAGAATCACATACCTGCCTTGTAATCCGAGGCCGTGGGTTCGAGTCTGCACAGGGATCGGGCGCGCAGCATCGAAGCGTAAGTACTGCGTAGCGGCATACTGCTGATGCCTCTCCTCGAGCAAAATTGAGTAGCTTGAAGAACAAACCTGACTTTATATGTGTTTGTATGTTTTCTTTTCCCGTTTTCCTATCATTGTTTCGTATTACATCGGCGACGCGAATCAAGTCAACTGGCTTCGCTACATTTCTATGTGGCAATAAAGCAGTGCCCTGCTACGATACATTACAGTGCAGGGGATCTCCTCCCAACCTCGAACAGCGCCAGGTGACCGACCGACAAGCTTCGGGTTGGCAGATGATATGGCTGTACTAAGATCGGACCCAGTTATTTTCCAATTTGTTCGGGATATGTTATGACGCCGAGGCGTCTGCTCTATACCTCCTAAGTTCAGCGTTTCGCTACTTGGTGGCTCGATTCATTTTTGCTCATTCAGACAGCTATGCATCGGGCATCGAGGTGTGGTGGGCCAAGTTGCCACGACGCATCGCCGAGATGACAGTGGTGTGAAAAGAGGGTGGAACGCAAACAGAGTACAAAGAAAAGAGAGTTAAACAAGAACTAAGAATATCGACAGCTAAATGCAAGAAACCGAATGTTGAAGCTCCACTAACTGCGCGACGGCGCCATGTACGATAGAGTCTTCATGCATTGATGTAGACCGTTCCGAGACCTCCATCCACGAAGGCAGCACTCGCCAGCTTGACCAAGTTTCTCATTCAGCTTCTTTATGCCCTTATACCACGTCATGAAATGCTAACCTATCGGTTTCCTCCGACTAATTACGGTGACATCATATAAGGTACGGCCATGAAGGTGGTCATGGAGCACATCATCAACAGTTGTATATCATCCATTTTAACTGATGCTTCGCTACCGTACAACCACAACAACCTGCGTAACGAAGAATAATAATAGGGAGATTAGGGGGACTTAGCGTAAAACCTAAACAGACACTCAGGATCAAGTCGCTTACATCTTGTCAACAACATACTGTCACAAACAGCTGGCTATCGTGCAAAGATAAGGCGGAATCGACGCGACAGCTTCCTCGCGGCTTTCAATGCCTTACGCCATAATCAGCCAGTACCTAGCAGATAACTCAGCACAAAACACACTTTAAACAGACAGTCCGACTAGGAGACGGCAGCAGAGGCGCCATTGGTGTCGACTGCGAGCCATGTCCTGTAAAGTCTCGAGCCAGGTACAAGGTGGGTCACGTGGACTCCAGCCTGGAAGGGGAGACGTACCGACGGCATCTAGTTTGCTCGTTAATGACTTCATTTCCCGCTTCCAAGTTATCTTCTTCTCACCTCAGGCATTGCGCCACCACACATCTGGCAAACAAACAAGTCCCTCCTGGCATACGTAGTACGTGCCCAAGCCAGCGCGACTTATTCAGTGCTATCTGTTCTGAGGAACTATCCTTGTTCTCCCTGTCTAGTACTCGCCTACGCACATCATCTTTGCGGACACGCTGATGCCATCCGACACTAACAATACTCCGCAGATAACGATGAAGGCGCCTCAAACCGAAGAGGCTGTCTCACGTCCATAGAGTCGGACGGCCGTCACTGTGGCCTTGTATACACGACCATTCAGATGGGGTGAAACTCTTTTTTGTCTCCAAAGCTGTCACAATTTAAGAAGTCAGTTCTGGCTTTTGCTATACGTTAACTGACTTCAGTAGTTATACGCCTATCGTTGCTGATGCAGCTTCCAAGGTTAGTGAATTGTTTAACTACCTCGAGTTCTTCATTATCAAGGGGTCATCAAGTGGCTGATGGTTCTACAACAACACTGCACTTTGAAGGTGCGAAGCGCTTACTAAGTGATGGGATCACCCTAGAGAGGTTATTCAGGTTTGATTGGGCCGCCCCAACATCGTCAAAAAGCAAAACAGAATCGTCCGCATAATCAAGATCAACTAACCTTTCACCAGGCAGCACCTCAGTGTCTGGATCGTGAGGCTCCGCAAGAAAACACTCCATGCTTTAGTTCAATACGTAAATGAACCAAAATGCGGAAAGTGTGCAACCCTGACGAACACCACATGTTGTCGGAAAGATAGCCGATAAGTCACCGTAGATCTTATTGCGGTCTGTCGTGTTCGCGTATATTGCACATAAATTGTTAATCTGTTTCATGAGAGCATTTCCGCACAAGTATCTTGCAATGAACGGATCGATCGACTGAACCGAATGCACTCTCGAAGTCTAGGAACATAGCTATTGTCAGTCTGCGGTACGTGTGACGCTACTTTAGCACTTGCCGTGAAGTGAATATATGGTCTATACAGCCACGTCTGGGGAGGAAATCTGTCTGCTCTTCCATACTCCGGGATTCTCGTTCCTCCGTGAGGTAACGAACGATAATTAAGGCCAGTAATTTTGTCACTACGGGTTTTTAAGGCTAATACCCCTGTTGTTAGCATAATCGACGCGATTGCCCTTCTTGTATATTGCCACTATAATCGATTCACGCCAGTTAGTCGGGATGGTCTCTTCCAGACATGTTCGGACGGAGATGTCGGTGCTTTGCAGAGGACCTCACCTCCATCCTTAAACAGTGTAGGTTTGAGGGAATCCGGACCAGCAACACGAAAACGGTTGATGGCTGTGATCGCGTTTCGGACGTCATCCTCTGACGGAGCCTCTACATTAACCGTACATGGTTCATCTTACATCACCTGAGTAGGAAGTGGTGCGGAAGCGGGGGGGGGCAACTGAACTTCTCTTGAAAGTATTCCGCCCAGTGTGCCATACGACGCTCCTTATTGTGAATCATGGCACTCCCAATATCTGAATGTCCCACTGACTTTTTTGGGGACCGGTGTTGCAGATCAGTTAGAAGAGTCTGCGATATTTGCCTACTGTTCCCACCTCCCCCATTTCTTGAGCTCGACCGGTGCCCAAGGATTCCTTGTTAGTGCGCATGCTGCGTTTTGGTTCGTACCTAATTGTCCGTCTGGTCACATTATGCTCAGAGCCAGTGACTAGTGCAGTGATGACTTATATTGCCACAAGCAGATCCCGTTTCATTGAAGCTCAGTGTCATTAGGACAAGAGGGCGCAAGTTCGGTACACAGGGCATACTGGTAGACTTGTCTGACAGAGGGCTGAGATAATTTCTCAGTTGTCTATCGAAGGAGACGCTTGGTACGCCTCCCGATGATGTTCATGAAAAAGCGACAGCGTACCAAGACATGATCACAGTCGACGCAAGTACTCCAGAACGAGAGGTAATCCAGGATGGAACCACGCCACCTGTACCTTATATTAATGGGACCAATTTGGGTCCATCGCTGGCCAGCTACAGGAGGACGCCAAGTGGCACTTCGGCACTCACTGTGTCTAAAGGCGGTACTGCTAAAAAACAATGATGCTCCGCCCATAGTTGCAACAGACGCTCGCTTTTATTCATACGGTCGGAGTTAAGCCCATACATACCACCTACGGAGCTACTGAAGAGCCCAGACAACCTCTGATATGATGTGATATCTGAACTGGTAACTGCGGAGTAGCGTGTTCAGTTACTGTTAGAATGGGTCCTTGGCAGCATCAGAACTACTGAAACCACCAACAGACAGCTTCTATTGCTGCTTAGTGAATCGACTTTACTTCATGTCTTCAAACGAGCTGCCCACAAACGGCTGTTCACCGTAATCCACTTAACAAACTATGAGTCAGCGTTGGAGCTAAGAACGATGCCCACCCCAGCTTGACCAGGGATTACCGCTTCAGCGCCCCTGGATGCTTGCCGCCAATGGCGAGTGGACAAGCAAAGTGCAGTTAGTTCAACAGCCGCGTGAGGATCATTGCTCTCAGTTTCGAACACGTACCACACATCAATACCCAGTGCGTCTAATGTGTGTGCGAGTGCAATCTATTGACGTATTTGTCTTGGAGTGCAAGCGTTGAACGTCTCCATGGAAACGGGACAGCGTGGCTTTATAAGAGACTGTTGCCGATAGGCGAGGTCGCTGCAGGTGATGCGACTCCAGTGGCATTGCGGCTGCTGTCAATAAAGCTGTGAGTTTTGGAAGTAGGTTAGTAATGGGGGTTGGAAATGAAGTAAAAGAAGCAGGTGAGAAAGAAAGAAGAGAAGCATCAGCAGTAGCATGTTTTCTATTATCCGTCTTGCTGTATGCAGCAAATAAGGCGACCCTTGATAACCTGCGGGGCGGCCGATTCAGGATTTTTTGCAGTTTGAAGTAGTCATGGAGTCCACAGAGGACATGACCTAGCCAACGTAAGTGGTTATATATTAGTTAACACGAGTGAAGCACCATCATCATCATACACGTTAGCTAGAGGTGCGGAACACCTCAGCTACTGTGCCGCAATACACAAAAAAGGAGAAAAAATGAATGCAAATGGTGCAAGCCGGCTGAGCTACCGGTAACGGATAGGCATCATTCCGGTAAGCTACCAGCCGGCTGCTGTGCACCCAAAAAAATTATGCAAAATTATATGAGGCTGAATAATGAGATCGTGGTTGGAGGGGGAGGCTAAGAGGGATGGGGTGGGACAAAGAAACTCACAGCACGAACGCCACTGAGGTCGGCTCCTAGCCATATCAGCAAGTGTGTCCAAACCAGGGAGCCGTGACGTTCCAACCGAGACCAGCTCAGAAGTGAGGGCCTTCATTCCTCTGGACCAAGTCATCGCTTGGTCACCCCTCCTCTTCTTCCATCCACACCACCGGCGCGCAAACAACACACGTCGCGGGAGTCGGTGGGCTGGCATGCGTAACACGTGGCCGAGCGATCGGAGCCTGGTGCGTGAA